AAATCATGGATAATTAAAATGTATAATTGTTGATTTATCTAGGCATGCATATAGCTCACTGATTATTTTTATCAATTTTATATTTACATCAATAGGAATAAAATGATGTCTAACCATGACTCTTTAATTTCATTTTTCTATATTTTTTATGGAAAAAAAATAGTTTATACATATTGAATATTTTAAACAATTGAATGGACGAATATTGACAAAGTTGAGTAAAGACATATTCGTATTTAAAATCTTTTAAATAAAATTCAAAACTTTGCAATAAATTTGATATGAAATGGGTGAATATAAAAAAAGTGTGAGTACATATTTTAAAACAAAATGATATGCATGCGAGGAAAAAAAATAGGCATTGATACGGAATGATCAATGTAAATAATTCAAAGTTCAAATATAATTTTTAATTTGAAAAATTTACTTATATCTAACACGTAATTCATTTATCAAAATGACAACTAAGTTGTGTTCAACTGAAATAATTGATACTCCATATATATATTCATAGTCAGAGGAATTTACCTAAATAACACTAAAACATAATGAATTTCCCTAAATAGCAACATATGTTTTTTATTTCCCATTGTAGCACTTTTAGTCATTATCCATTTGTCATTATTTAGACAAATGTTCACCGTCACAGAATATTATTTCTCCTTCTATATATTATTAAGTGTATTTAAGGGATAAAAAGTTTAAGTCTTATTTTGGGAAATGACTGTTGTTTTAGTGTTATTTAGTGCAGATATGAAAAATAAAAAATTTGAAAAATTATATTGGGAAAAAGTTTGAAAAATGAAAAATGAAAAATTTGAAAATGAAAAATGAAAATGGAAAATTTGAAAACTGAAAAATGAATAATTTGAAAAGGTTTAAGTCTTATATTGGGAAATGACTTATGTTTGAAAATATGAAAAATTATTCTTTTATGAGGATAAAGCACTATTGGCACCAACTCTCGAAGTAGTTGAAATGATAAATGAATTTGTTCTGTCCCTCATTCCTGGTGATGAAAAGAAGTACTTGAGTTCTGATTCTTCGTGCCAAGCAGAAGCAGATGTAGGTGTTGATGGCGATTGGATAACAGTTGACTTTTTGAACGAAATCAAATGTTTGGGAATCCCAAACCACAAAATAGTCTTGAAAAAAGGGGTACCAATTATAATATTGAGGAACATTGACCAAACATCTAGATTGTGTAATGGGACAAGATTAATCGTTCAAGAGCTGCAAAATAATGTTATTGGTGCAATTGTGGTTTCGGGAAATCGAGTCGGGGAAAAAGTTTACATCCCTAGAATGAATTTGGTACCATCTGATCTAGGGCTACCCTTGAAGTTCCAAAGAAGATAATTCTTGATCGCCTCATGTTTTGCTATAACAATCAACAAAAGTCAATGTCAAACATTGTCATTTATGAGATTATTTTTAACCAAGTCAGTGTTCACACATGGTCAACTATATTTTGTTTTTCACGAGTGAAGACAAACACCGGATTAAAAATATTAGTTCTAGATGACAATAGAAACCCTTGCAATCATACCAAAAATGTTGTATACCCTGAAATCTTTTGGAAAATTTGGTATTAAAATAAACATTGTTAACTCTACATTCTGTTCCTCAAATATTATTTATTTTACTTTGGCTTTTTTCATTTGTAGTATTAAAAATCATGTGAGCAATATATTTACTTTATTCTGAAAAATAAATTTCATTAAAATAAATTTAGAATCGACATAAATTTCTTTCGACCCCGTGCATGGCACGGGTCAAAATATTAGTAATTCAATAATAATTTTAGGGTGTGTTTTGGGGCATTCCATTTCTTCCCCCCTAAAAGGAATTTCGTCATCGAAATTCTTCTAAAGTTTATTGATCAATATCTTGTTTGTATTCACATTAGTCTTGTCACATGACCGCGTCATGTACATTTAGTTAAATCATGATTACGTTGTTATCCCGACGGATACGTATTTTCAAATCGTTGATGTCATCAAACTCGTTCTATCTTCAAGAGATTAACAGTCTTTGATTAAGCAAAGTAATCAACGATTCTTTTAGAGGATGACAAAACATATTTTATTTCGGCCTGAGGCCCTACAATAATTTAATTTATCCAAACAAATTTATTTAACTGAATAATAGTTCAATAATAATTTTAGGGTGGTTTTGGGGTGTTACACAAATAATAGTAATAATAATTTGAATTTGAATCCAAATAATAATAATAATAATGACAACAATAATAATAATCATCATTAGAATATCAATTCGAATTCAAATAATAATAATAATTAACATAATAATTTACTAAAAACATAATAATAGAAACAATATTTATTTCTATTATTATTATTATTATTATATTACTCTTATTATTATTTATATTATTATTTTAACATTATTTATTTTTAATAGTTTTCTGATTGGTCTAAATGGATTTACCATGATGTAATCTGAATGATGTGGTTTTAATAGGAATGAACCTGATTTGATCTATATTGACCAGATTTGATTTGAATTGAATGGATCTGATCTGATATGATATTAACCGAAAAAAGTAGGAGAAATAAATTAAGGAGAACGCGGCATTAGGCATGACTCATTCAAACGAATCCAATGATTTGCGTGAAAGAAAAAAATAAAAGAATACGAGGCCAAACTAGTAATAAATGAATTTGGATGGCGTAGAAAAAAAGAATTACAGGATACGATCCTATATGGATTGCATGCCATGGCCCATGGAGGCCATTTTCGGACGGGAGAGTAAATTAGTAAAAAAGGGAATATGAACCAAATTAATTTAGTTACATTTCATGCTGTTTTTGGGGAATAAATTAAATTAAATTCACAATCCATTAAATTAGCGCCCCCCAAAGGGTACAGAAGGTAGGGTATAGAAGCAGAAGAAATGATGACGACCAAAAGAGAAGGACTGTGGTGGGTGGTTGTGGTGGCGCTCCGCCTGAGAACGCGATATCCCATTGGTCGCTGCCTGGGATATTGCTCACCCCGCCGCCGCCGATGGGAATGTTCCTACGTGCATTCAAAATGGGCAAGCATTCGTTAATTTTGACCGTTAATATTTCTATATGAATACATAACGTAAAAATATGATATTTTAAGACTGGGTTTTGCTAAGGATATCCTAGCTTTTGTATACAAGTTTGTCACAGAAATAAACAATTGATGTTTGTGTATCCGTGACAAGTTTAATTGTACAAAATCTGGGGTATCCCTATCTTTTAAACTATACTTCGTATTTTGGAGTGAAATTTATATCACAATTTACATAAGTAGTACCTCCGTCTTAAAGTATTTGTTCAGTTTTGAATCTTTCAGTCAATTATTTTAAATCTTTGACTTATAAACAGGACAAATAATCAGGGACGTAAGTAGTATTAATTAGATAAAATAATACTCCCTCCGTCCCATAAAGATGTGTACGTTTTGACTAAAGTAGAAATTAAGGCAGGATAATTTTGTGTTGACTTTCCAAAAATACCCTTGATGTGATGGATAAAAGTATGATGTGATGTGTAGATTGTTAGAAAAAAGATATGATGTGATGGGTAGGGTTTGAAAAAGTAAGGGGTAAAAGTGGTTTTTTAATAGAAATGAGTAAGAGATTGTGGGACGCAATTTTTTTGAAACGTGTAAATCTTTTTGGGACGGAGGGAGTATTTTAAAAGTATTTTATATAATAAATCTAATAAAACTATTTATGCACCGATATCTAATATTATTTTTACATAATTTAAGGTCAAAATTTACTAATTTATTTACTAATTTTGTTTGAAAAAAGTAAAAAATGAAAGAAATACCAGGCCAACCAGGGGATAATTTTTTCCCCTAATTTAAGATAAAAAATTAGAATTAAACTAAGGGGTACACCAATATGGAGTATCCCATTTGTACACCAAGCCAACATAGACACACAGACACAAAATATCTCTGCTGCACAAACATTTTGTGTCCGTGTGTACATATGGGGAACTCCATGTTGGGCTATCCTTGGTATAGCCCTAAAAATTAATGGAGGAGCGATGGACATACCCTTGGTTGCGATTGAGGACGCCGGCGTTTTGGGTCAGCGTCTCGCTGAAGCCGGCGGGATTAAAGCTCTCCGCATAGGTGTATGAGTCTGCTTGGATGCTGCCGGAGGCCACGAAATTCGCTCCGTTCAGAAATACATCTCCGTCCGTCCTCCAATTCCATCGTGACCACTCGCCCTGGCTTGATTCTTCTCGCCTCGTCACCTCCTTCAAATTAGGGTTATCCGGCGCCACGAAGCGGTTGTTCTGGGAATTGATGGTCGGTTGTGCGCTGCCTCCGATTGCGTAGATTCCCCACCCCGCCGAGTAATCGTTGTTGAAGACGTGGAAATAGCCGAATCTGCACCTGGGCATCCTCTGTCCCAGCATTTCCCCGAACCGATTGAACGCGACGGTGACCTGCATCCGCTTGTCGGCGGGGTAATCGTCGCTGTGTCCCAGCAACATCACCTTGTCGTGGTGGGAGAAGTAGTTGTTGGATATGGTCACCGCCGTGGACCCTTCCGTGACGTCGATCAGGCCGTCCGCGCAATTCGCCAGGGTGCAATGGTCGATCCACACGGCGGACGACGCCTGGACGGATATCCCGTCCCCGTCCGATGCCGACACCTCCTCTTCGAAATCCGGCCTCAGCCGCACTCGCTCCGCCTTCGACGGGACGCAATTGTAGATCTGGAGGCTGCTGATGATGACGTTGGTCACTGACCGGAGGACGATGCAGCCTTTTCCGGTTATCTGCACGTTCACGCCGCGGCCGTCGATGGTCTTCGATTTGCCGACGAGGAGCTCGTGGTTGAGCGTGATGGCCATGCTCTCCTGGAAGATGATCCACAGCGGGACCCCTTGAATCACCCCGTACCTGAGAGTGCCGGGTTTCGGGTTTAAGGGGTCCTCGTCCGATGAGTCCGTGACCACGTATATCTCCCCGCCTTTGCCGCCCAGTGCATATTTCCCGAACCCGATCCCGCAGTCTGCTAGCCGCTGGCGGTTGCTGCCCCAATTCGGGTCGCACCGCCAGCAGTCGTCGATTGAGTTCCCGGTCGGGCATGATGGTGACGACTGAGACTGAAGGGATCTTCTCGCCGTCACTGATTCATTCACTCTCCTGCCCACATATAAACCTCGATCAAATTCTAAAGTTTGTTTTGGAACGTACATCAAGGATCGTATGTCGACTTCCCGAGGTTGTCCTCACCCTTTGTGCCAATTTGATTGTTGACACTAGAACACAAAATGATTGTGCAAAATTTTTGATCTTACTGTCATTTTGTGTTAGTGTAAACTATCAAACTGTGCTGCACACTTGCGCTGTACAAGTTGTGGTACCCTCTAGCATGATCATTTATTTTGGGATGTGCTATTGAGTAAAAAACAATATTATCATTAATAGCGTTGTTCATCGGTCTACAACTCAACCGGACCAAACCAAATTAGAGATTGAGTTTTGAAGATTGGAAATGCCGTGGAGGAAGATTGGGTTTTGAAGAATTAGGGGTGAAATGGGGTGAGAGTGCAGAAGTGAAAGTAAGATAGGAAAAAAAATATTCCTTCCGTTAAAAAAACACTTCATTTTTCAGTAAAATACTTTCATTTTCTATTAAAAAGTTACTTTTATCCCTAATAATTTCATTCGACTTATCACATTTTATTTTTTCACTAATAATCTATCCATCACATCAAAAGTGAAATTTAAAAGTCAATTGACAATATACACTCCTTATTTATCTATTAGTGAAATTAGGAATCTTTTGGTGAACAAAAGGAGTACAAGGAGTATTCGCAATCGATCTTTCGAGTGAACCAAATGGTATATAGTTATAGATGAAATCGGGCCGAAATCCAGAATTCAAAACAATTTAGATTGAAGATCAATTCTAAATTCTTTTTGTCTTAGTTCGTTCTAGATCTATAGGTTCGGTTTAATTCATTTTTCAGTCTAGACCTAAACCTAAACTGCCCGAATCACCAAACTATTCAAACCCAACCTTAACTTCAATTCCTATTAGAACCATGTCCCACAGAGGCCCAATTACCCTTCAAACTCCATTATTTATAGTTAGTTCATTTGGTGCCGTTTGACGTTGCATAGTTGGCAAAAGAGTGTCAAGGGTAGACTCGAGTTCAATTCCTGACACCTGCATTAGAAGGCAATTATGTTAAGCATAGTGTCTCTACAAGTACCAGGTCCATACTACACTCTTTGACACCAATCTACGATCAAAGCCTAATTAATCTTCTATCAGTAACCGTCCGTTCAAGTTTGAAGGGGCCATCAGGGATGAGACTCATCCTTTTTTCTATAGTAGTTCATTTGGTTGAAAAATATTATCATTTCTCACAAGGATTGATTTAGATTTGAATTCCTGCTACAACTGCAAAAAAAAACATGCCAAGCATGAAATTCTTGTATGTACCAATGACAGAATTTACCCACTCTCGGATCTCAACCAAATGAGATTAGAACTTAATTTAACTCTTCAAAGCTTAGTATCTCGATCGTTAGGAAAACTGTGGATGTTGCTATATACTCTCTCCGTTCTAAAATTAACTTCTCAGTTTGACATATCTATGCACCTTGTGGCATGGAAACATGGTAACAAATAAAGATTATGAATGATTGGGAATGAAGAAGAAGAAGAAGAAGAACTCAAATTAGAACTCATACATACCTTAGAACTTCTTTGACCACATGTTCAGGGTTGGGGTGTTGGTGGCTGAATGTGAGGGTAAGAAGAGATGCAGTTAAGAAGAAGATCAAGAAAAAGACATGGCTGAATGTGGCTTCTGTTGGATGCATTCTTCAATTCTTTGCGCGCTTCTCTATGGTAAGGCAGCAACTAGCTTGCTAGCCTCTGTATGTATGTATGTCTTCTTCCTTATATTAGCTTCTTCTTTGACTCTATTTAATTTATATATGCTGTGAAAATCCAACAATTTACCATGGTCAAAATTAATTTTTTCAGAAGATAAAAGAAAAAAAAACAACAATGAAAAGCAGCATTATATACATCTATATATATATATGGGCTGCCAGCCAGCCACTAGTTTGAATGTGTGTCATCTATGTGTGATTTCAACCAGAAGAATTTGTTTGAACACAGCAGCGGCATTTCTCTGCTGCTGCTGCATGCCCCCATTTTCTAGCCTATCAGCAGTGATTTTCTAAAGCTCCCAAATCTATTCCATTCCATTCATTTGTATAGCTAACAACTAGACGTCGTTATAATATGAAAGATGTTAAAAGTAATCAATACTTATGACAAAAAACGCTTTAGACTTGAGACCAACAAAGAGCCTTTACTCAATTCTTTCTTATGGTCTGGGCCCACGCTTGCACCGAGATGGGGACATGGACTTATACGTGAGCGGGTCGGAAGCGTGAAACACCAAATTCTTTCAAAATTTATAAAGGATTTGGGTGTGGGGATGCGCCCAAATACCTGACTGGGGACGTTTCGGGAAACTTTAGCGACACTTACTTGAAGAATCAGTGTAACATAGCTTGTGTGTGGTTGTAGGCGTACAAGCCGCTTACATAGGTGAAATCTTATTCTTTTTTTTTATAAAAAACTACACACACACATGTAGACTCTTATGGCCCGTTCGAATTCGTGATTTCTTGGTCAACAAGATTTTGATATCATGTTAATAAACTAACTCAACCAAAAACTGGTTAGTTCTAAATCTAAGAAAAGTTTTTTTTGTGTTCTAAGGCGAGAATTTTGGACTAGACTTGGGAAAAAAGTGCATGGAGCTGGTTATGATGTTGTTTTGACATTTGATTGCCTTAACCTTAAAATCAGGTAATAAAGATGTCTACTCCGTTGGGTGCCTTCTACCTCTCAATGCTACGAGTAAAAAGTAAAAAAGAAGAAGAAAAAACCAATATACTTTTCATTATATTTTATACTTTCTCATCCTAAAAGTTACATTTAATAATCATGCCTTGACACATTTATTATTTACAAAATCAACTTGTGATGCTCCGATTTATTTTGGAATTGAAATAAAAATGAGCCACACAAATCTTTCTTAAAAAATGAGAAGAAAATATTACGATGGCGCATGAAAAAGAAAATTTTGATAAGAAAATTTTCGAACAAAAGATTTATTTTATATTAAAAAAGGTAGTATGCCCGATGAGTTAAATAATTTGATAAATTTAGTCAAAATACAATATAAATTCAGAATAAAATAAGTACAATTGATGACTCCCAATAATACTACTTTGATAAATAATAACTCACCTTGAACGTTTTATTGGACGGATGAAATATATAACAATTCATTTTAACAATTTTTACAATGAAACAAACACATTCATTCACCACAAAACCATCGATCACAATTTTGCACTAGGTGACACAAGATTCAATACACTTCACCTACTTTATTTTTTCAATGTAGACTGAGAGGTGCATGAATCCCAGCCACAACTAACCAAGGCAACACATAATAATGTGTTAATAATTAATACCCACCCTATAGCTAGTTTAAGTAGAATAAACCTAAAGGAAAAAAAGAGAGTAGAAAAGCCAAATAATCAGAATAAGTAATCTTGACTTACTTATTTGGCAGGTATATGAATCTTATCAAGCCTTTGTCAATTTAGAGATGCATGTCCAAGTCTATTTATATAAAGCTTGATAAAAACCCATCAATGATATACAAATATTGGCATGAAGCTTTTTATTTATAGTTATTGTTGATTGAACCATGAGTTTAATTAGCACCATAATTAATTAAGTATCTAAAAATTTATGGTAAGGGAAAAATTGCCCAAAATAATCCCAACTTTACCCGGTCTTTCAAAAATAATCCCACCTTTCACTGTGATGCATAATAATCCCAACTTTACTGAAATTTGCCAGTTTTGGGTCACCGTTAAGTTTCTAACGGATGGATAACGGAAATGCCCGTTTTAGACAACAAAATGAAAGTTGGGATTATTTTTGATGAATTTTTGTTTTTTAATTTTTTTTAAAAATTACTTTCTACCTCCATCATCATTTCTTTTTCCTTTTTTAAAGATTAGTCTTAGTTTAAAAAATANTATTTTAGGCATTATACAAAGCATTAACTATCACTTCTTATTTTTTAGAAAAAATTATCTACAATAATTCCAACTTTACCGGACGGCTTGTTCTTTTAAAAAATAAGTAGTACATTAAGACTCCGTATAGTGTGTAAAATGTTAAATTCACGACTCCATATATATTTATTTTATTTCTTACCAGTTTCTGTTTAATTTCTATTGATTACATTATTTATTTGATTAATTTTGAAAGGTTTTAGTTATTTTTCTCATTTTCATTATTTTTTATATCTATTTTTTTTCTAAGGTAAGAATAATCTTTACAAAAGAAAAAGAAATGGAGGTTGAAAGTAATTCAAAAAATTTAAATAAAAATTTCAAAAAAAAAATTAAAAAACAAAAATTCATCAAAAATAATCCCAACTTCCATTTTGTTGCCTAAAACAGGCATTTCCGTTATCCCTCCGTTAGAAACTTAACGGCGACCCAAAACTGGCAAATTTCAGTAAAGTTGGGATTATTATGCATCACAGTGAAAGGTGGGATTATTTTTGAAAGACCGAGTAAAGTTGGGATTATTTTGGGTAATTTTTCCTATGGTAAGTGTTGTTTGATTATAAGAAAGCATGCGTTAATATATTTAGTTAACAAAAGAAAAGTTTCCATTCTTCTATTTAGAAAATTAGAGTAGAAAATAGATAAAGAAATTTGGGTATAGGCGAATGAAACACAATTTCTACGACTTTTTTTCCCCGAGAAATCAACTTTTGATCGGAGAGAGGCGAAGTGTCAAATGGCAATCATGTCCTATTTTATGTGCTCATCAATATAACCATTTTTATTTTGCCCATTTGGAAATAATTTCAAAAAAGTCTTCTTCCGGAACTATTTTTCACAATAGATTATATAAACACTATATTACTAACACCAGCTAAAAGATACTCCGTATTTAAATTCTGCCAGATCTCGATAACCATAATCGAGGCGGAGTGCCTCATCTAGCAAATTGGGATCACCGCCGAGCAATTCAAGATTGTCATTGATTTTATATTTCCGATTCTGTATATATTAAAATTCCTTTTGTTTAAATACATATATTATAAATCTATTCAATTAATAAATTAGTCATATTAGAAAAATATACATAGTAATTGATAATTTCGTTTTGTACGCACTTATGTTCTCTATATTTAATGTGTTATTGTCCAGTTTTGGATTAAACAAGACTTTTCAATGATTTTTATATGTTTTTGTTTATAATTATAAAAATTGCACAAAAGTTATGTCTTATTCTAAAAAGAATAAAAGTTGAGTCAAATGTTGTTCAAAGGAGGGTGAAAGTTGGAAAATGCATAGCATCCAAAGAATTGAGGTCAAACTTGAAGAAAATTGTTTCAAGATAAAGATCACAATCCAGGAAAAAGATTGAATTGGGTCTTGAAGCAAAAAGAATTGAAGAAAATGGTGAAAAATGAAGTTTTGGGCCGAAAAGCAGCTCAGGCCCCAGACAGGCCCACACATGTCGGATGCTTGGACCTCAAACGAAAGCATATCACAAATTCAATCCCAAAAAATCAAGAATTTGACTCAGGCCCCGCCTGGACCTCAGGCCCATGCCTGGACTTACGTACCCGCTGACGAATGGCCAACAAGCCCAGGGCTCGGACAACCCCCACCTGGACCTCAGGCCCACGCCTGCCGGAGGCCTGCACTGATTTTCTCCTATAAAAGGAGAGTTTCGCCCCTCCATTCTCCAACCAACCAATTCAGGGTCTTCTATGGCCCGGACATCCTCTCTAGCTCCCGTTTTCAATTATATTTTAATATTTTAGTTTAGTTTTGTTCCGGTTGTCCCGAAGTGGCCCCAACTCTACTCTCGTTTGTAAGTTTACTCTTACAAATTTTAATAAAATGTTTTGTATTTCATGTTCAGGTAATATTGAGTATGAGTTAGGATTTAGATTAAGGTCCTGGCTAAATTCGGGCTTATACTGTGTATGTTTATTTAAAAGTTGTAATAATTAGAATTAGTTTATTGTTAAATTAATTATATCAAGAGAAAAATTAATTATTGGGAATTAGTTTTTGCCTTGTCTATGAGAATATAAAATTAACTAAGCCAAACTTTTTAGAACACATTAATGATACATTGAGAAAGGATAATTTAATGAAATATTTGTGACAGAAATATTATTATTTCAATTCTTGATTAAATATGTGACAACAGTATTTAATCCGGATGATGCTTGACCCGAAGTCTAGTCCTATACTCGTGCTATGAATTTTATTTTTCTTAAAAGTACCAAGTAGTTTAGTTTATTTTTATTTTAAAATTAAAATGAGAAGACTTTCAAACCTGTCCAAACCTTCGTCTAGTTAGAAAAGTTAGCTAATTTCCTTTGTCCACTCCTCGAGAGACACGACACTCGGAGAAAACTAACCCTTCATTGGAATTGTTGACATACCGAGAGTCTTGTCTCGAATCCGCCTTCACCAGCTGCACTAGAAACGTTGGAGGAACATGTCCTCCAAACATGTGTTGAAGACACTTCTCCAGAGGAACCTGTTCTAGAGAAATCTAAGCCCACCATCGACCCCCTTGATTTCGATACTGATGAGTGTGACGAATCTATAGATGAAGAGCTACCTTGTATGCTGAAATCATCCCGTCTATAAAAACTATCACTATGGAAGTCTCATCGAGAAATTCAGACAAAGCTTTCTTTGACTCCCTACTTGACGGGTATAATCATTCTTACCCGAAGGAAAGTTATAGTCAAATGAGCTGGGACAAACTTCTAATGAGCGACACCGAAGACTTAGGGGAAGACCATGCTATAATTGAC